GTGAGTCATTCATGTAGGATTCAGGGGGCGCTAATGGATATGAGATGAAGATGCCTATGTAAACACTATAAAAAAGAATGCAAATAGAACCATTTTTCCAATATATAAGTATATTTTTTGTTATTCATACATGTTCTTCTGTTCGGGATACTAGTCACTTTCTTTTGGTCTCTTTTCCTGCTCCCCTTCATTCTTTCCCCCAGCATGTGCCCAACAACATGCCCAAAACACAAACAATTTTGAAGGCATCAGGCTCCAGGGCACATACGTTTCCCAACATGAAAGGTGAGATGCCAGCACCTAAGACTGTGCCATGCAAAAAGCCCGCAGCTGATCCCCCAGTCGAGGTCCCTCCCACTGACAAGCAGAAGCTTATTCTCCAAAGGTGCCCACTGCACAGGCTGCAGAAGCATTACTCCTACCTGGCAAATAGTGACGCCTGTCTGCATTTTATGGTAACATATATCTATGCATTTCTGTTTTGTGTCATAGGTTTTTTTTGACATGTAGGATTTGTCAGGCATTATCTCACACGTCTCTCTCTTGAAATGTGTATATATATATATTATATGTACTTTCTGTGCCACTCAGAACCTACGATCAGCAAAACGATTGGCAGCCGATGTGAGAGTGGAAATGAGAAGACGGGGTGTGAAATTTGTTTTGCCTACCCAAAAAAACAATAGATCAGTCTCACTGCCTCACTGCACGAGAGCCACATGTCTTTGTTGGCAATTAGTATTTCATTTGCTTGCAATATTTCAAGCAAATTACACAGATGCATTTCGACAATGGGGCAAAAATCCATTCAGAGCACTTCTGCATTTGCTGCCAGGATCATTTCTTCATGCAACATCCTGTTGAATTTGCGCCGGTGCACTGGCTTTTTTCTTGGGGGATAGTTTTTTTCCCTCGCATCGGCATCACCAACAGCCATGGAACCAAAATGGCAATTTAAGTTTGTGCAGAGCTGCTGCGAAGATCCTGCCGAGACGTCCAGACTTTTTGCCACTTCAACTGGATGGGGAACGTTGGGGCCAATGGCAAGTCAGCGTTGCCAAGCAGCGTGGGAAAATCCGTTGCCTGGAGTCAATTTCTTTATGACATTATCCCCTATGATTAGCTTTCGCTTTCACTTGGTGGGACACTGTTCAGAAGGAATGACTCTGTGCAGATTGCGCACGGATTTGGCTGCTTGTTGCCGCTGCATCGTCAAGCCCATTGTCCCACCAATTCGGGTGACAGTGGAGGTGGTCCCTGAAGGCAATGGCACTTGCTTTCTCAGGTTTTACTCCATGGCAGGAGACTTGAAGCTCGTGGTTCAGAACAAGTCCATGCGGAGCCGATGGGGTCCAGTCCTCAAAGATGCCGCTCGGAAGATGGGAAGGACGAATATGGACTCCCGCAGTGTTACCTTCCTGACTTTGAATGGCGTGGAAATCAGTGAGCAGCACCATCACGATGTCATCGGTGAGGATTTGCCTTTGCCAGTGCCTGGCAAAAAGGTCAAGAGTAAGTTCACAAAAAAGTAGCCTTGCTGAATTTTTGGACTTTCTGTGAACCGGTCGAAGGCCGTTATCAGATTCTGAGTTTTGACTCTCCATTCAGCCCCGGTGCGCTTTGAATGTTTCAGTGTTGCAGTTGAAAAAAAGAAGCGGCCTTCGGGACGCTCTGGACACCATAGTCAACCACCTTGCATGTGCTAGATATGTTAGTTTGCTTGCTTTGCCATAGTTTTATTTACTATTACCTGGATCAGCGAATATCATGATGAATTGGAAATGGAATATGGACATGGTCACTGGTCACTGGCAAATTACAACATTGAAGTGCCAATGGTTTCCAAGCAGAACTCTTGATGTCGCATCTTTGGTCGCTGGAAAGTTCAGCAATGCGTTTGAAATGATGCATACTACACTTCAGATGGTTGGAATTAAAATGGTTTGATGAGCAGTTTGTTGCGCAAGAGTCTTTGAAGTAACACCAGTCACTTCCTTAACACTAAATGGAACTCACTGAAAGTGATGAGGTATTATCCCCCGGATCAAAAAGCAAATTAGCATTGTCGAGATTGGCATTCTTGATTATATATAAATATATATGGGCTTACTTGTTTTGGATTATGGGTATTGAATGTTGGCCTTTGCATAGCTGGCTGGTAGCACAACATGAATGCTTATAACATCTATTCATTTAGTGATTTACTTATTGACTTATTGATTCATATATCTATCTATTTGTTCATTCATTTACTCAATTACTTATGTGTCTATTTATTGTTATTTCATGCGAAAAAATGTGAACATTGCACCCAGGCCACACAACACCAAACATCATTAAGCTCACCATGCATGATGAATCATCTCATAAATGATACACATGTTCTTGGTGACATATTGTACTTCATTTTTTCAGCTTATCCTATAGACATTGATGGCAGTCGTGGTCATTGACGCCTTCACTGCGCTCTTTGAGAGCATATGCCCATGATGAAGAAATCAGCCTCTTGAGTTGGGTTTCAGCATTCATTTCACTGCAGTCTGCAATTTTCTCTGAAATGTCAACCATCCAAATTTTGCAAAGACAGATGCCTGTTTCAATTTTTTTTCCAATGTTCGCTCCTTCCCAGGAAAGACCTCAAGATCCTCGAAAGGAAGGCAATGCTCCTAAAGACCGACCACCATGGAAAAATCTTCCCAGGGGCAAGTTCACCGAGATTACTATGGAATGTTCTGATTCAGCTTCTTCGATTGCTGCCTACAAGAAACGAGATTCTGCAGGAACTCTACTGGTGGACATAGCTATGTCGGATGCTGGCGGAGGCAAGGCTGAGGAACCATGCCATGAACCAGCTGCAGCCTCTTCTTCGAAACCGCAGGAGGACAGTTTTAGTGAGGTGCCAGCGGCCTTTGGGACGCTCTGCATATCATACAAGTTTTTCCAATTGAAAGGTGTTTGCTTTTTAGTTTGAGATAGTTGCTAGTCCAGCATGATAAACGCAACGCACTCTCAACTACAACACAGCAGAAGTTAATATACAAAATTTAATATTATAATTCTTTTAGGTATATGACATGAATTCAACCGGGCAAACATTTAATGATATGTATATATATATATATGCTATACCACTGATGAGGTGATTTGTCAGAATCGATTCCTAGGGCAAAAAAAAAGAACCAACATATGCAAGTTGAAACGTCTTTGAAATATCCCGCAATATTTTCATTTAATCCCAAAACATTTGCAAATGTCATATCCAAACATGTCGAGCTATATGCACCATATTCAGCCGATCATCTCAGTCGTTTCCCACAGGACAAGCCCAAGACTTTGGAAGAGCTTTGGAACGAAAAACCAGAGCCAGCTCCAACCCACGTGTCTAAACTGACTTCTGAGGAGGACATTGCTGAGTTGCCCAGTGATGAAGAACCTTTGTTCTACGCAAGTGCAAAGAAGAGTGCTCGACAGAAGACTCGAGAACAAACAGGTAGGAACCGACGTCGAGCTGGTAAGGACAAGGCTTATCATCAACGTTGGCAGTACGAACCGGACCCTGCCAAACGAAAGTTTCAAAGCATATGAGAGATAAAAAAAAGCGGCCCTCGGGCCGCTCCGAAGCTGTTTGCTGTGATGTTGTTAAAAAAGGAGTTAAAGTCGCTTCCAACCAAAAAGATCCAAAATCAAAAAGCGAAAAGAGTGTCCAAAATGGTGAACTTATTTTTAGCTAATTTTAGCTAATTTTAGCTATTTTTTAGCTAATTTTAGCTAATTTTAGCTATTTTTTAGCTAATTTTAGCTATTTTGAACTTCTTGAACTTATGTTATAAGTTCCATAAGTTCAACATTAAGTATCTCAGCTGGACTCAAGTACCAACGAGTCACAAAGTAGTAGTCACCAATAATCATAAATTTGTTGATTAGGTTCCAATCCTCTATAATTAATCATCAACTAACCAGGGTTTTGCAGCCACTGCTCATGTAGAAAGGTGCAGTTAAGCAACACCCTTCGCTGGGGTCTCTCCTTCTTTTCCCCGTGGATCTGGATGACCCTGGAGACATTTCCGAGTTTTTGATGCGATCTGCGCTGTGGAGTAAATGTACTTGGTGGCTCACCCCACGGCTCGTAAGTGGGTTATAACCCCAGTTATAAATGGGATAAGTAGGATTAATCCACTTATAACTGGGATTATATAAACCACTTATAAGTCGTGGGATGAGCCACCAAGTAGACATCGGTTTATCATACACATCATCTCACTTAGCAGTAAAAAAACATGGTGTTTCACTTAAGTACTTAGTATACTTCGTACGAGTATGAGTTACCCTCTGGTAATTTAACATAGCTATTGAAAATGGCCATTTATATATATGTATATATATATAGTGAGTTTTCCAACTAAAAATGGTGATTTTCCATAGTTATGTTAGTCATTACCAGGGGGTAATGACAGTTCATGATTTCATGGCCCGGTTACTCACCAGGTTCTGCGGAAGATGATCCAACGAGGCGCTCAACACAAGCAACAAAATGGTGTATCCTCATGGTGAAGAAACATGGTTCTTTGTTCAAACGGAAAAGAAAACCAACAAAGTTGCTAAAACATGGTACAATCATTGAAAACCATCCCCCAGTCAGCATTTTTATAGTTGGTAGAAACTTGCCATTCCCATTTTTGGGTGGTAAAAATGACATTGTTCGTGGGCCACATGACTTCTGCGGCCAACTTAAAATCCAAAACTGCAGATCAGTCGTATCGAAGCTGCGGCAACAGTCGTATTCTATCGATTGACCCTAGGGTAAACATACAAAAAGATGGGGACAACACATGGGGAAACCGGTTCGGCAAAACCCTGGGTTTCCGGTTCGGAAAATGATTTTGAAATGGTGGCTGTTCATGGGTTAAACCGACATCTGTGTTAGTTTAAAGGGAGGGTATATCCTGGCATTAAGCTTGACAAACCTCAAAAGATCAGCAACAGGGGAAATCTCTAAAAAATCAGGAACGCTCGGTGGCCTTTCTTGAAGTAATTCCTTGGCAAACGCAGCAAAAATGGTACAAGGATCCCGGGTAGTCACTCCAACATCAATGTCATCACCAAAAAATATGGGAACACCTTGAAAACACGAAATGTTGGCTTGAGATGGCTTGAGAATATTCAATACAACCGGAATCTTTGTAAATCCCAAAACACACTACGGGGCGACCTTCCCTATTTGACCTGAGTTTTCTGGATTCCAGCCATATCATCAAACTGCCCCCCCGCCAGTTATAAGTTGATTTGTAAACCCCAGTAAACATGATTTTATGGCCCCAAAATCCGAGTCAATCAAGTTATAAGTCAACTTAGCTATCTAGGATTATCTAAGGGGATCTCACCTTGATGAACTTGTACACATCCCCACAGATTTGCCAAGTCAACAAGCCAACCTGGCATATCCATTGGTTTCAGGAACCCGTGTTGTTGCTGATCATATGGTCATTGGGTTGCTGACCCAGGCGTAAACTCATAATAGCTAATATAGATGCGGAAAACCCATGATCTCACAAAAAAAAACAACAACTATGATGGTTGGCATCTTACCACATCTATAATTTCCCATCTATAGATGTAAAACCAACATTTCTTTCCCATCTTACCCAATAAATGGTGGGTTTTCCACATATGTTTGTTTACGGGAGGGTAAGATGGGAGATTTTTTTCGCTGGGAAGCACCAGAGAGAACAAACACCTGGAAACTGTGGGGGACGCATCCTTTTACTAAGATCCTGGAAAAAAGTGAAACCCTACAGTTATGGCCCGAAATACCAGTTATAAGTACTATCAAGTCACCCCATTTATAGAATGTTTCTCTTCCCAGTGTAATAACCAGTTATAACTAATAAATGGCCATAACTGTATGGATTTTCCATGATTTTCCCTACTTGTAGGGGATGCATCCCAGTTCGTACATTCCACATAGAACAAGGTTATGTATGGTTGTATGTTATAATCTGGTTATTACCCACTTACTACTCTCCTGTAAAAAAAAAACACATGCCACCATTTAAATTTAGTTCGAATGATTTTCCAATTTAAATGCCCATTTAGAGATATTTCCAGCTAGCCAATTTTTGATTACCCAAAATAATCATTACAATTATATATCCCACTATTGTTGGGTATGCACATGCATGTATACAGTATATCCCAAAAAAATATCACCATAAAATCCCGTTACCCTCTGGTAAACTAACATAACTGTGGAAAATCACCATTTTCAATGGGAAAATCCACGAACTTTCTATGGCCATTTTCCATAGCAAACTGTTGACATAACCAGAAGGTAACGACCTACGCCTAGCCTCCCATTCCCTGAGAGCCCAGCTTGGTAGCAGCCAACTGAAGCGTCGCGACCTACGCCTCAATCGTTGGTGGAATCCCCGTGGTGACCATCCCTCTGGTGGAATCCCTCTGGTGATGTCAAAATAGCTATGGAAAATGGCCCAGTCGAAAGTTCGTGGATTTTCCCATTCAAAACATGGTGATTTTCCATCGTTTTTTGTATGTTTACCAGAGGGTAATGGAATTTCTATGACATGATTACTTAAATCACGATGTTAAAAATTTGTGGTATGCCTACCCCTCTGAAAATGTGAAAGTCAGGTTGGATCATCCCAACTATTGGGGAACATAAAACATGTTCCAAGCCACCAACCAGACGATGTTTAATTGGTTTGGTCAGCATTTCGGCTAGTTCAAAGCCAAACAAACTCTTAGTAATTTATCCCATCATACATCCTATGCACGAAACGTGGTGCATTTTGCATCCCCTGATATCAGCCTTAGAAATGCTAACCCCCATGGGACCCTTGTGAATCCTTGGAGGTTCCCTAAATCCATCCAGGCAATCCAGGCCATCAACTGGCTCATGGTTAGTCGTTGGAACCACCCCAAGATGAATCGATCAAAAAAGGCTGCGGATTCTACAACCAAAGCATTGAAAAAATGGATCCTTAATCAATGGCCATTTCAGGAACCTAAATCGGAGGTACCTACCATATATAAGGCCTATATAAGGCCTATGCAAGGGAATATAACCACGAAATATGGCCTTATATGGTACAGTACCTCCATTTTAGGATCCTGGAATTCCCATTGACTTAAGTTTGAGATCTTTCAACCAGTAAGCCATGTAAAATATCATCTCTGACATGAGTACCTGGTTGCTAAATGTCACTAACAGCGGCCCCCGTCCCAAGATATCCAAGTTGTCCCAATGCGGTGCCTCCTAGTTATGTTTGGTGCATGTTACTGCCATTGCCTAGTTCGGTAGATCTACCACAAAAAAGAACACAGCACCCAGTGAAATATGCCAACTTAGCTCACAAACTGGGGCATCAATTCGCATCTACAATGATCTTCCCCATTCTATTTGATCAATTATGTTCAATCCCCATGTTTCATGCTTAAACTATTCATCTTTGTTGGTGAAATCAACTATAAATCCGTAAAAATCCCATATAACACATTATAAAACCCATATAAATCCCCATAAAAAAAATCCAGAAAATCACAGAAAATCCCATAGAAATGCTATAGTTTTGTTGCCTCTGTGCTTCAAACCATCCAATTTCATTCTCCAAGGCGCGGGAGTCCTGGATATTGTTTCGACTCCACCTAGGAAGCTGGATGTTGGTTTGTAAACCTCCATGAAGTATACCCTCTGGTAATTTAACATAGCTATTGAAAATTGCCATTTATAGTGAGTTTTCCCATTAAAAATGGTGATTTTCCATAGCTATGTTAAATTACCAGAGGGTACCCTATGGATCCAGCCGTACCTCCTTGGGACAAAAAATGGTGGTATGATTTAGAGGGTTAGCCGTACCTTCTCAGACAGTGGCCATGGATTCATTGGATCTAAGATAATCCGTGAGAATCCAACAAACATCCCTGAAATTGGAGTTATGTTCACCAACTTAGCTATGTTTGTTGGACTGGAATCCTATTTGTTAGATATATCTACCATAATAGTGACAGTGAAGTTTTCTGAACCAACTTAGTGATTTCGAAGCAAGTGTACCACCTTGTAGGAAACAATCCTATGCCAACTGGATGGGAAAAGGCCAAAGGGTAGCGAAATCATCCACTTTTTGAGTGGAACATCACTGCCTTAGAACATGTATACAGTGTTTTTTGACCCCGTGAAACGTTTCTTGGTATTGTTGGTTTAGTTTCGCCCATCCAACTGGCCAAGATATATATATATATAACTGCTGTAAAGCCTAGTTATCCTAACCAAACCATTGTTTCGGGGCCTCATCTTGTGGAAAACCCATCATTTTTGTCATGATTCATGTTCTGCAATGATATAAACAACTTCCAAACACCGGTCTGATCGTTGAAACCCCAAGCGATTGCGCGTTGGGACCTTTTCGGGATGTCTTTGGAGCTCCATGCTCCAAGCGATTCCGGGACAACATGCTCAACACAGTTGGGGGTCGATGTGCTTCGTGAAGCCACCAGAATGATCTGGAAACATTTCAGCACGCATTGACTCCAAAAAGAAAGCAGGTGTCTGTCGAGTTCGAACATCGTATCAAATTATCTGCAACATCCAAATTTAGAACATGCCGCACATACCAAAATCACTGTAACAATAATATCACAGATTGGCTGTGTCTGAAAATTGGCTACCCGTAAACTCCATTTAAACAAATCCAGAAGTTGATCATAGTTTTTCATCCTTTTCCCGCTTAAAATTGCAATAACATGGCCCGAGTTTTACCAGTTATGGATGTACTCTATTCCATTGAAATGTAAAGCTTGGTACAACTCGCCTTCTTCTGTCGGTCGAAACGAACACATATTATATACAATGGTGCTGCAATCCCATTTGTTTCGTGTTAGTAAGGTAAGGTTAACGGCAATATTATCATTATCATGGTATTATGGTTATTTTTTGAATTAACTTTTAGATCATATATGTAGATACTTGAGGCGAGGGGGGAGGTACGAAAGCTAGCAGGGCTGGGATAGGGTGGTAATCGTAAAGGGGGATTAACAAGGTGAAGTCGGAATGCGGCAAAGGTCTCACGCGTTTTTTTTGGAGTTGCTGCAAGTCACAAACAGTGCCAATCTTTTGATGTTGATGAGGTTGCTGACCAGAACGATGAAGGAAAGTGATGATGACGAAAGTGATGGTAACAGGAATGAGTTGATGACGACGATGATGAGGACGAAGAGGATGATGAGGATGATGAGGATGATGGGGATGATGAGGATGATGAGGATGATGAGGATGATGAGGATGCTGAGGATGAGAATGAAGATGAAAATGAGGATTGGTGATTATGATGAGCAGGGCTGTTGTAGAGTCGCAAAATCTATTCAGCTCAGTCCAGCGAGCGAACCCCCCCCCAATGAAGTAATCGTCTCTCGCCAAGTGGTGTAAGCAAAAGAAATGCAATATCCAACAAAAATACGCCCCCCCAAATGGAAGCCCGAATCTTCATAAAGATGTTCGAGACGATGCAACATATTATATAACATATGTATGATGATGATAAGAAGGATGATGAGTATTATGATGAGTATGATGATGATGATGATGTTGATGATGATGATCTGAATGCTGCGAATCATGGGGATGATGATGAGGAGGAGGATGATGACGATGAGGATGAGGATGAGGATGAGGATGAGGAGGGTGAGGATGAAGATGAAAATGAGGATGATGACCCTCTACCAGCCGGAAATCTCCTCTCGGGGGGGGCTCGGGGGGGACCAGGGGCGGATCGAACCTGGGCCTGCCAGGGGGTGGGGGATGGGGGGGGTCCAACTGGAAAGTTTCAGGGTTTCCAATGGTGTTGGTGCCTGCCTATTCCTTGCTAAAGCAAGAGCAACTTCAGCTAGCACAGCTAGCTTTCGTGATTGATGAATTGCCACCCCAAGTAAAACAAATCAGCCACCAGGTATCACGCCCTCGGGCCGCGACCGGTTGATGAGCCAAGGGCCCAGATTGCCCTATCGCCGCTCGAAGACCTCAAGTCGATGCCCCAAATGGCATACTGGATGCTACTGGATCTGGTTGGTGGTTTCAACCCTTGTGAAAAATATTAGTCAGTTGGGATGATTATTCTCAAAATATTAATATATGGAAAGTCATTAATTCCATGGTTCCAAACCACCAACCAGGGGCCCGCTGTTACCAGAGTGTAGCTGTTATTGGAATGAATTCAACAGCCCAACATCGATCAACAGCCTATCCTCATCCCTCCACGAAACTGCGTCAAGGGGCCATATCCCTCAGAGATTTCGGTTGGAGGGGCGTAGCTCTCACTTTCCATCCGAACGCGATTGGCGTTGGCCTGCTACATGTGGATGGAATCTGTGTTTCGTCTATGATAGCTCATGAATTATCAATGGGGAATGGACAAATTAATAGAATATCAATAATTAATACCGATTTACAGCACCCGACAGGATTATGGAAAAAAAACGTTTCAATTTACAGGCGCCGCCTGTCTATGATAGAAAACTTACGAACCTTTTTTTTTCCATAATTATTGTTTCCATATTTGTTTTTTCCATAATTCTGTCGGTGACTGTATGTCCATCGATTCGCAATTTGAATGCATTTTAAGGGGGAATATTGAATTATAGAAAATATGTGTCTAAAGATCTGGTATATGCCCCTAAGTCTTCCATTGATATACATAATATCATGTGATGTTCGCAATTTGAATGCATTTTAAGGGGGAATATTGAATTATAGAAAATATGTGTCTAAAGATCTGGTATATGCCCCTAAAGCCTGCCATTGATATACATAATATCATGTATACGGGTATGTGCATGTCACGGGTTTGAATTGTGGATCCATGACATGTCCAACAGGTGGAGCCCCAAACATTAATTATGGAAAAAAATAATTATGGAAAAACCGGTCAATCTGCCCTAGCCCCTTGATTTCACAGGAAAAATTAATTATGGAAATAATGGCCACCTCCAAGAATTATGGGAAAAAAACAGCTTCGGATCACTTCCGGGATATTTTGAACCCTTATGGGGAAAAATCCAATTATGGAAAAATCGGACGCAGGCGCCGCCTGTCTAAGTTGAACGTTTTTTTTTTCCATAATTCTGTCGGTTACCATAATTGGTAGCAAATTAATTCTAATTCATCTTTCATAAGGTTGGGATTGGGAACCTCGTGTTTTGTAGTTGAAAGGAACAGCTACCCATTTATTATAGAGAAGAAATAGACATCCATAGCTCGAGCAGCTGGACTTTTGGATGTCCTTAAGTGGTCTCCGTCATGGCAGGGGAAATTGAAAACACCTCCCGGAGCAGGGCTTTGTTATTGTGTCCCGTTTTATTCCAATAGTTGGGTGATTTTCGAAAGTTCAAATAGAATAGAACATTTACATTACATTTACATTACATTTACATTACATTTACATTACATTTACATTACATTTACATTACATTTACATTACATTTACATTACATTTACATTACATTTACATTACATTACATTACATGACATTACATTACATTTTACATTACATTTACATTACATTTACATTACATTTACATTTACATTACATTTACATTACATTTACATTACATTTACATTACATTTACATTACATTTACATTACATACATTACATTACATTACATTACATTACATTACATTTACATTACATTTACATTACATTTACATTACATTTACATTACAATTACATTACATTTACATTACATTTACATTACATTTACATTACATTTACATTACATTTGCATTACAATTACATAACATTTACATTACATTTACATTACATTTACATACATTTACCAACCAGTGTGAAAAATCATGCGCTGAACACAATACAATAGACCGTTTCCAAATGGCCATAAATCTGCTGAATTGGAACCATACCATACCGCCATTTGGCGATCATTCCACCAATCCATTCACCATCATTCCAGAATTCCGTCACGACGCTTTCGGTCACAAGATAATTCATCCTGATTAGTATCCATTGATATCCATTGTATCCCTATCATATCCCCACTACACCATGTTTGTTGCTTAAATCACCATCTTTGATGGTGAAACCACCATTATTAATGCACATAATTAATGCAAATAATTTATCCATATAGTCCCACACTTCCCATATTGTTGGTCATATAACAATGATTGACGATTAAGTCACCATTATAACCATTGTAGCAACATATCCCACTATATTCTCAAACATATTCCATAATATTGCAGTCGATACATTTATGTATCCGTTACAATCCCAGTGTATTTTGGTTCCATCATTAATCCAAACACTTTATCCAATAATCCAATATTGTTGGTTAAAGCACTATTATATATATACACATACACCTAAACCCTCACGGTATCAATAAACATACTGTTTTACCCCATAATTTAATACTTTAACCATTTTCTTGGTTCATTTGGAGGGTCTAGGTGTATAATGTATATATATATATATATTCATACTACTATTGTATACTCAATATTGGTTCCATATATACATATATACCTAATATACTATAATATATAGTATACATATATATATATGATGTTCTGAAACCATCCTTACTATGTTCCCACATCATTTCAATCCCAGAAATTCCGAGTTCGCGCCGGAGAGGCCATCTGTGGCAGCTCTGCCACGTCGTCATCGTCCACGACACCTTCAAGCCTTGGGATCGATCTTGGAACCCTGGGGAAACCAAAAATACGTGGCGATTTTTTGGGGGAAATCCCCTACAATGTGAGGCCCCCCAGTTATAAGTTGGCTTATAAGCCCCAGTAACTATAGTTATAAGCACCATAAACCATAGATATTGGAGTTATAAACCAACTTAGCTATCTTGGGGGCCTCACATTGTAGAACTGCTGCCCCCCAAGTTGTTAGAGTTATAAACCAATTTAGCTATCTTGGGCGGAACCACCTTGTAAGAATCCGTAAATGAAACGGTTTTTCTCGCTGGAATTTTCCACGTAATGGACAATCCATAAATCATCTATAAATATCTATAAACGAAGGTTAATAGTTGGAACAATTAATCCAGACATGAAGCACTTACTTGTGCTTTTTACGTAGGGAATTTTCGGGAATGATCCACTGGCTAACTATCAATTTCATCATCCCAGCAACCCCATTCCCAACCCATCCAGCAACCCTACGTTTAGCACGCACCATTCTCCTGCGATCCCCATTCGAGAGCTATGGCAACAGTTGCTGAATTTGATGGTTTATGGTAGATAAAATACGATAAAAATCTACAGATATGTGATATATGACATACTAAAATCTATAGATATGACATACTAAAATCTATAGATATGGTATATAGATATATTATGATATATTATGATATATTTTGATATATTATGATATATTATGATACTATATGATATATTATGATATATTATGGTTTATTATGATATATTATGATTTATTATGATATATTACATTCTAAAGTCTATCTAGATAATGTGGTATGACGAAACCTGTAAATAACTGAAAACCCAAACTTCTATCGTATGAACTTTCCTGCTTAAATAGATACATTTTAAATGCTCAAATACAAATACCATTAAAAAATAAATTATTGAATATTGTCGAATATGGCTAAATCACCCCGAACTGTTACCCTGAGCTGCAAGTTCGTTTGTAAGCCCCTTTGACTATATTAAATACAATATTATATGTACATATATTTACTATAGTTCACCGTTCACCTATCGATAATACTGGTTAGTCGTTGAGCCACACCCTGAAAAAAATTGGGATCATCATCATCCAAAATATGGTTGACAAAAATAGCTGAAAAACAAAAAGAAACAAATCCGAAGTATTTCAAACCACCAACCTATCCAGATGTTTTTGACTAGATTCCGGATATTTGCCGGTTAAAATTCACACCTTTAGTTAAGAATTTAGCTGGTGAAACCAGATTTGGGTATAGATCAAAACTGTTCCGTACCTTGGTTTTCACAGCAAAATTATTGGCACTTATGGATTTTCAATCAAATACAGGATCGCAATCTTTGGCCTATAAGTCAAAACGCAATACCCCAAAACCAGGGGCTGTGGATCATTTGTAGCAATGCCATTCTTGGGGTCACTACAGTTTCCCAAATTTTCATTGGGAATTTCAGGATCCTAAAATGGAGGTACTGTACCATATAAGGCCATATTTTGTGGTGATATTCTCTTACATAGGCCTTATATAGGCCTTATATGTGGTAGATACCTCCAATTTAGGTTCCTGAAATGGCCATTGAATTTTTAACTCATATCCATTTCTGATTCTGCTATTAACTGATGGAGGTATGGTCTCAAAGGGGAGACAGCGGTGAACCGGGGTCTCCCCTAGGCACTTTGGCACATCGATCACTGGCGAACCAGATGGATCGAACATGATCTAAAAATTGTACATGGTTTTAAGCAACATATATCTGGGTAAATTATAATATTTCACTAACCTGAATTAAGGCCATAAACGGGGATGATTCCCCTTACTAACCATGATTTCCAATGAGGGAGAACAGTGAGGTCGTAATAATTTACCCATATATATATATATATTGGCAAAATATGTGGGTTAAGCGTTTTATATCTACAGGATTTTCATTAAAATTTCATTAAAAAAACAGATTCGTGCCATGGTCAAAACATATCGTATCTGGCCATGGTCATCCATCACCTGCGGGGATCCTGATAGGTATAGGAGTGGAATCTTAAGTGTAATCCCTACAAGATGGGGCCCCCAGTCGAGCTCGCGTTCAGTTGGTTTCTTTTTGTGGTTGAATTCTATGGTTTATGGTAGATATAACGAACTAGTTAATGGTGATTAATTCATGGTTTATAAACCAACTTATAACTCAGGGGCCCCATCCTGTATGAAAATTCATTGATGACCATCCCCAATTAATTGGGGTTACCCTCTGGTAAACTGTTGCATAACTATGGAAAATCACCATTTTTAGAGGAAAAACAACTATAAATGGCCATTTTCAATAGCTATGTTAAATTACCAGAGGGTTATACATGGTTAAAACTTTTGGGCATTATACTGGTTATGACCATCCCAAATATTGAAATAGTTAATCCAACAATACTGCAGTTATGGCCCTTTACCAGTTATAAGTACTAACAAGTCATCCCATTTATAGAATGTTTCTCATCCCTTTGAAGTAACCAGTTATTTCACTAATAAATGGCCATAACTGTGATTTTGCTGATAATCACATCATCTAATCCAACTGTTGACCATACTGCACCGAGGCGCGCCGCCAGCTTCTTCCAGTCTCCCGCCTTCTGGTGAACCCCAATAAAAATCGTTGGCAAATGGAAGTTCATCCCTCCCAAAATAATATGGTAATATATGGGAATATATGGGAATATATATATATATGGTAATTTTAGGGTTATATGGTTATATATATATGGTAATTGTATGGGAATTTCTGTGGTAATATGATGGCAATATGGTAGAAGAGTCGTGTCGATCCATCCGGACATGCCAGCGTGGAGGAAAGTTCTCAAGGGGACAGCCTCAACCTCAATAAGCCTATGGTATCCTATACTCACCAGTAATCTAGCATGGTGGAACATCCCCATCCATGTTCAATAAAATGTTAAAGGCAGTGCTTGTTAACGAAGTTGGCTGAGAAAACTCCAGTACCTGCAGTTTAGTGGGGATTACATCCGCAGGTAAATCAGGTTTTCATGGGGAAGCCTTCCCCACGTGAGCGGCCTCATTCGCTGCAAAGAGCTCTTCCTCCAGTACGACAATCCTGAAACGGCCGCTGCAATGGAAACGCAATATCCCGGGGGGCTAAGTGGTGAGCGATTCCCACAAACAAATGGGAGCATTGTCACAGGTAGAGATGGAAAAACAAATGCAACATACAGGAAGAAAACAACAACTAACCAAAATGTCAAGGAAGGAAATTCTGAATCTGTTAAAAAAAGCACGTTCTCGAAACAGCTTTTAGTCTACATCCCCATGTGGCACGTGTTCATTTTGCACCCAAGTAATATTATATCCAGCTCCTATCCCTTGCTAACTCCCACAAAGCACTGCAGTTTGCATAAATTTCGAATAAGTTTGCTGCTATGATGGATGAGTACCAACAGATTCCTGCCCCAAACCAGTCCACCCGAGGGTTGGAGACTCCAAAAAAGAGGGTGGTAAACGGTGGTCAATCTCCCACCTGGCTATATCCGGTTCAAATTTCCGACCAAATGCATGGCAGGCCGCTAAAACGTATATATCTCCAGTATCTTCCCATTCCCCATTGCATTCTTGTATATCCCCATGAAATCCCCATCAAATAATCATTGATTTGCCATGATTTTCCCAAAAAATATCACCCATATAACCCATTGTATCCCTATTAAATCCCATTAAAATTCCATTAAATCCCTTTTGCTGATGGTTAAAACCCATTATATCTGGATGATATCCCAATTTTATTCCCAATATATATACATTATATCCCCACGACATTACAAGGTGAGGCCTCCCAGTTGCAAGTTGCTTCATACACCAAGCAAAACATCGTCAATCTTTGGTAGTCCACTAGAAATTTATCTTTTGCTGGTTATGATATTCCACATATATAAATGTCAACCCTGGATTAATAAACCCCGTTTACGGTTGTTTTATTGGGGGGATACCATAGAAAAAGTATCAGATGAAATGACTATTTGGGGAGTACCCCCCTAATTGTCATAAACCATGGTTTAGCAAAATCCGGGGTTGACATTATATATCTGGGTAAATTAGAATATTTCACTAACCTGAATTAAGGCCATTTGGGGATGATTCCCCTTACTAACCAGTATTCCCACTGAGATCGCAGTGAGGTCGTTATAATTTACCCAGATATATTATAGCAAAGAAAACTCAAGGATTAAACGATTAAACCACCCATCCAAGATCATCCAAGATCATCCAGTTGGTTGGGGATTACTTTTTCTGAAGCAAAATCATTGGCATCATCCTATATATATATATCCCTAATTATTGTTGGGTTTATGAAAACCACTATGAACCACAAAAAAAGCATTGAATTAGCTTCTGGTAAACCAACGTAAATAAACTATAAATAGACTATAAATAAACTATAAATAAACTATAAATAAACTGAAGATAAACTATAAATAAACTATAAATAAACTATAAATAAACTATAAATAAACTATAAACGGCAATTTTCAATAGCTAACTCTTCAATTACCAAAGGCTAACCATTAAATGAACTGCCAGGCGACATATCCAACGTTGTCTGCACCGCCGGGTCCACCACATGCGCCGCATAGCGCAGCTTGGACGACGCGTTGGCACCGTTGGCACTTCGACGACGGAGGCAGGGGACCAGGTCGTCAGTGGCCAAGCGAATGGAGAAGGGCGTACGTTTGCCTCATGTTTGGGATATACCCTCTGGTTATTTGTAACATAGCCATGGAAAATCCCTTATAAATGGAGGTTTTAGTGGGAAAATCATCTATAAATGGGTTATTTTCGATGGCTGTGTTAGTTTACCAGAGGGTACATGGTGCAGTCATGGCCATTTATTAGTGATATATAACTGGTTATTTCAATGGGATGAGAAACATTCTATACATGGGGTGACTTGTTAGTACATATAACTGGTAAAGGGCCATAACTGTGTAGATAGAATTATATATTATGATTATTATTATTGTCAATATTCTGACTATTACAATTACTATGTATGTATGTATGTATCTATATATATATGTATGTGTATGTTCTACATGTGTGTATATATATATACACATATGTGTTGGTATATAGCTGGTTTGTATATATATATATACATGTATATATAGTTTGCATATGTTATGTTGGTAGATAAGTTGAAATTGCTTTTACCATGTTACCACACGATAAACCATCCCCAAAATCAACAGAAATGTCTTGGCGTTAACCATCACAAATTGGGGTGAAATATTTTTGGGGTTTACCCTCTGGTAATATGGAAAATCACCATTATCACCATTTGGAATAGGTAAATCAACTGTTGATGAGCCATTTTCAATAGCTATGTAACAAATTACCAAAGGGGACCAGATTTGATTCCATACGTTGATGTCCCTCCTTAAATGGTTTCCCTGATGTGACAATTTCCGCAATGTGGCACAACGCCCTGAAGACGATTTTGGAAGCTGTCAGCTGTCGAAAGATTTTCAACAAGATATCTGGTTGGTGGTTTCAACCTACCCCTCTGAAAAAAATGAGTTCGTCAGTTGGGATGATGACATGCCCGACTGAATGGAAACATAAAATTCATGTTCCAAACCATCAACCAGATATGTACTCCAAAGGCTGAAGCCGTTGGTGTCCCCCTAAAGTCCTTGGGCAAAACCAGATCATCAAATTTCCTCGGCAAACATCTTTAGGGAGCGTTAACCAAACAATGAGGATATATCAGCCCAAATTAGGGATCATGAGCCAAACTGAATTCAATTGGCTTTTGGCCCAAGTCCACTCGTAAATCTGCGATTTATGTTGCTGAAAAAAGCCCTAAACTTTGATTGTTAAACCAGATCCACGCTCAATTTTCATAGCTTGAATCTTGAAACTTCACAGATCCAGTTCCAATTTTCACAAATTTTCACAGCTTAAAACCTGAAAACTTCACAGATCCAATCATCAATCCCAATCCTCACAACTTCCATCCTATTCTTTTTCACAGATGAACTCCTGACTTTCCGATGAATCCCCCCAAGGATCCGGTTGGTTAAATCCCAAGTCGCCTGTGAATCCAACCGTTTTTTTGATGGGTGTTTTAACATACCGCAACAGCCCACGTGTTTTTGTTGGAATAAAATCACCATTTGGAATAGGTAAATCAACTGTTGATGAGCCATTTTCAATAGCTATGCAACAAATTACCAGAGGGGACCAGATTTGATTCCATACATTGATGTCCCTCCTTAAATGGTTTCCCTGATGTGACAATTTCCGCAATGTGGCACAACGCCCAAATCGGCATGAAGTTCCAAACCAACTTGGCTAAGATGCCAAGTATATTATCTAAACTGCTGTATATGTATACCATAACTATCTACAACTTGGGGTTGTGGTGGGTATATCCATAGTTAGGTGGGTGTATAAAACAAACTATGTTCAACTAAAAACAACAAACTATAGGTTACAATAGGTGACTATAAACCAATGAAAAACAAGGGAAGGTCCCCTCCTAGGCGTCGTGCGTTTTTGAACACACAACGCCTTTAAAACCTGCATTTCGTGAATGTTTTAAAAATGCATCTTCCAAGAGGGGTCTCGGAAATAACTTTTTTCCCCACCTGCCAGGTGAGGGTTGTTAGATTTTATGTCAGTTGCCTCCTCCTCCTGCCTCGTCCTCCTCTCCTCCTCCTCCTCGTCGTCCTCCTCCTCGTCGTCCTCCTCGTCGTCCTCGTCGTCCTCCTCGTCCAACTGCGACCCGCGATCCACAGTGTTCTCTGTCGGACCTCAACCACGACCATCCATGCTCAGTGTTCCCTGCCGGACCTCAAACACGACCATCCACGTCAGTGTGCCCTGCCGGACCTCAACCATGACCATCCACGCCCAGTGTTCCCTGCCGGACCTCAACCACGACCATCCACGCCCAGTGTTCCCTGCCGGACCTCAACCACGACCATCCACGCCCAGTGTTCCCTGCCGGACCTCAACCGCGAGTATCCATGCCAAGTGTTCCCTGCCGGACCTCAACCACGACCATCCACGCCCAGTGTTCCCTGCTGGACCTCAACGGCCAGATAGAATGCCAGAAGATATGCCAGATAGAATGTCAGATAGAATGCCCGAAGATATGTCAGATAAAATGCCATGAGATATGCCAGATAGAATGCCAGAAGATATGCCAGATAAAATGTTAGAAGAAATGCCAGATAGAATGCCAGATAAAATGTCAGATAGAATGCCAGAAGATATGCCAGATAGAATGCCAGAAGATTTGCCAGATAATATGCCAGAAGATATGCCAGATAGGATGCCAGATAGAATGCCAGAAGATATGCCAGATAGAATGTTAGAAGATATGCCAGATAGAATGCCAGAAGGTATGCCAGAGAGAATGCCAGATAAAATATCAGATAGAATGCCAGAAGATATGCCAGATAGAATGCCAGAAGATATGCCAGATAGAATGCCAAATAGAATGCCAGAAGATATGCCAGATCGAATACCAGAAGATATGCCAGATAGAATGTCAGAAGATTTGCCAGTAACAAAACGTATAAATGTCATGGTGGGGATCACACGAAGTAAAGTAATTTAAACCTCATCGCGCATACATTGCTTTCAAAGCTTTGGACAGGTGTGAGACACAGTCGTTCTTTTCTTGAGATCGCCACTGCCAACTTCGGATGTACTGCCGTGCCGAGGTACTGCTATATGATAACTATGACATGAGCCGGAACAACGCAACAAGCAAAACCAAGGTGAAAGCCATGAAACAAAGCAACATTCCACTTGTGACACGAAGACATGAACATAAGCAACAAAGACGTATCGAAAATGTCTGAACCAAACGAAAGACATGAGATCATTTTATTTTCAAAACTATTCTAACAACGCACAAACGAATGAACAGCGTGTCAAGAACGCACATGCAGGAACGTTAATAAACAAGAACGTTATCATCCCCCCCAACCCCCCCACCCCCCTACCCCACCCCACCCCACCCCCCCACCCCATCCCACCCCCCCGAACAAACCCTGGCATGCCAACACGCAAGTATAAACGCAACAGCGTCAAGAAACACAGCAAAACGCGCGGAAAATGCAACGACGCACACGAAAACAAGGAAGCACGTGAGATGACATGGATGCTTCGACAGTGACGCAAACATGAAAAAATGACAACACTCCGCGACGCCCTCGCGGGGACCTTACCAAAAACAACAATAGTATAACTATATCGATATCTATATATATATATACTGGTTGGTGGTTTCAACCCCTCTGAAAAAATAGTCAGTTGGAATTATTATTCCCAATATATGGAAAAATGTTCCAAACCACCAATCAGTATATGTATATAACAATACTAGCAAACTATCTACAACCAGCCCTGGTGCTCTACCAGGCTACGGTCCGGTCGGTCGCCCGTCACAGGAGCGCCCACGAAGGCGAAGGTGAGGACGCGGACTTGGCCCCCACCTACCTGTGTCGGGACTCAACAAATCCACCATGGGCTTATGGTCAGCCCACAGAATCCAAAAATCATAGCTATATATATATATACACTGGTTGGTGGTTTTAACCATCTTGAAAAATATTAGTCAATGGGAAGGATTATCCCATATATTATGGACAAAAAAAATGTTTGAAACCACCAACCAGAATATATATATAATACTGGTTGGTGGTTTGGAACATGACTTTTATGACTTTCCATTCAGTTGGGAATGTCATCATCCCAACTGAAACTGACTAATATTTTTCAGAGGGGTAGGTCAACCACCGACCAATATGTATGGGATATAATTAATAGTAATCATATGGGATATTTCATGGGATATTTCATATGTGCATATGGGATCGAAACCAACAAGCAAGAACTAAAGACATATGTATATATATATATGGAAATCTCACGAGGATGCATTCCAGCTAGGTGAAAAGCAATGTTTTTCACTGGGGTATACTCCACATATAACTAGGATATATATATATATATATATTTATGGTTATATTCTACAGTATGAGAAAGAAACCACATAATGTGGTTAACTATTGATAACTAGCATGAACAACACTTGGGATATAGTTTGTGTCCACAACAACTACACGTTAACTAGTATTGTTTTGGTAAATTGACTATAACAGTTGAAATATATTGGTTATGTATAGCAATAACAATAATTATTGTAAAAACCTTTGATGATGAGGATAGAATGGAGTACAGTAAAATTGTATGGAATGGGGAGGCAAGCAATACACATACTGTATGTGATTCCTTTCTTGCCTTATAAACCCAACTACGGATTACTGTAAATATTTAAATGTAGATACCCTCTGGTAAACTAACATAGCTATGGAAAATGGCCCATTTATAGATGGTTTACCTATTTAAAATAGTGATTTTCTATAGCTATGTTGAGTTACCAGAGGGTAGTTATAAGATTTCAACACCAACCTAGCTACCCAGGGATTCAACCATCCACAAACAAGGCACACAAATGACGAAGGTCGGCTGGTAGAGGACCTGACAAGTGTGTGACCATCCACTGAAGACCATGGGCAAAAAAGTCCAACCGGTCTACCAGGAAGTCATCATTGGGAGACTCCCCCTTCGACCATGTATCGCTGACGTCATGGAGGTTGTTCAAACAAACATATTTTCAAAACAAAAACAGCCTTAGCAGGTTTGCAGTCATGTTTGAGGTTCTACAACACCACAATTTTCGGCCGGAAACAATTTTCGGTCTCGGTGTTTCTCCCAGGTTGGTTTGTTTGAACATCGGGCTTACCCCATGCTTCACTGATTACCCTCTGGTAAACTAACATAACTACGGAAAATCACCATGTTTAATGGGAAAACTCACTATAACTGGCCATTTTCAATAGCTATGTTAAATTACCAGAGGGTAATCATGAATCATCATTTTCAAATCATGTCATGGCCACCACTGGGATACTATGATACTAATCACCCCCTTTTCAGACACAATAAATACATGAGCAATGTCTTTTTGGGTGGGCCCTATACAAGAACATAGGCTACCTAGGCAGTGTAGACGGCCTACGCCGGGAAGGTAGCCACGAGGAGCGTACCCAACATATCATGCAGTTCCCTTCTACATAATTTTCATCATCTAAACAAAACACAATGCTCATGTGTATTGCTGTACTACTATATGATACTATATGTATTTCAATTATCAATTACAAATATCACCATATATTCCCATCCTTTCCCCCAAACTCATGCAGGTGAGCTCATCCCCCCATTTCTTCGTTTTCCCGGCTCTATCTCACTACAAGGGACTGGTGGAAGTCCCCGTTCCACCACCAACTGCATTCCAGGGCTGACGGAGAGATTCACAGCACACCTGGGGCTACCATTTTAGCATGTTTGCAGGTGACAATCATGGTGAACCCCAAAGTTTCATGGAAATATGCTGTGAAATTGCTGCTTAAATTCCACTTTTTGATTGCTGTGGTCAGAATTTCTGCGAGTAAATACCATGTATCCCAAATTTACGGTTGTCATTTATGGTTGTGCATTATATACGAAAATCACGCTAAGCATGGTAAATGTTAGATACCGGACCAATCAACACACCATAGCAAAAGCTGATATACCAAAAAAGTGGTCGACAGTCATTATAATGACCATACAATTTTCCTGGTTGGTGGTTTCAACCCCTCCGAAAAATATGAAAGTCAAACGGGATTATTGTTCCCAATATATGGAAACATAAAGAATGTTCCAAACCACCAACCAGATCATTATAATGACCACAAAATTAGTGGTTCAGCCAGTGGTTCAAGACCCAATGCTATGCCCAGTTCTGCCTGCGGCTTCTCGGAATCATAAATGGATTAGACCACTGCGGGAATCAATCGGCTAAGGAGGCTGATCCTCCAGCTTCAATTGGGCAGACTTTACCCACTTTCTAATTTGGAAGAAGCACCAAGCAAATGGTTCATAAATGGTTAGCACCCAAAAACATAGACTATAGACTATATCAGATCATGCAAAAAACAACATGTCATTGATTTATTTAGTTGGTCAATTTGGTTATAACCCAGCATAAGAGAGTTCGATGGGGATACACCGCTGAAGTAATAAACCCAGCTAATAATCAGTATAGTGGTTTGTTTATAGTCAAACTCGTTAAAATGTATCGATCTATTCACCATTGGCTCAAAACAAAATCTGAATCCACTAATCTGACTTCTTCCATCATCACCTTATTCAGTTACTCATGTGGGTGTGTCTGAGAATAGGGTTTACCCAAAATCGACTGATTAGTCATCAGTACCCCAAAAAGCTACAATTGGGGGTTCATCCCCCATTTTCAGACCCAAAAATCATACGAATTGTTCGTGACACACCCTATAAAATATCCCCAGCATGTCCTTCAATGTGGGGCCCCTGAGTTATGTTTGGTGTATCATTCCATCTAACTATAGTTGCAATTTCCCATAAACCCATTGGTGAAATTGGATGCTCAACTTAGCCACAAATCAACTATAAACCCAAAAATCCCCATGAAATCCTCGTTTTTCCTACGGTTAAGACTCAATTTTTGACGTTTCGAAAACTGGGCGCCCTACCGTAACTACCGAGATCCCTACCTTTCTGCGTCGGCCAAGGCACTCCTCCGCGAGCGTCCGCAGGGCTGCCGGGTGAATCTTCCGTTCCTCGCAGTGTGGAGTGCCGATTTGTAGAGACATAAACACGACATAGACATGAACACTATGAACATGTATGAAACACATATATCTATATCTACCTATCACGTATATACGTATATATATATATATTTGTATATATATAAACGCATTATATATATATACAATATATATATATGTATAACATATATCTATTGTTTGTTATTATAAGTTATATATAAAACTTATATATATAACTTATAGATATGTTAATATAACGTATTTATATATATATAAACATTTGCATATATATCATATATATATATATATATAATATATATATATATATATTATACATATATCTATAAACAACATATATATAATATATATATATATAGAATTTAAATAACATATAAATAACATAAATAAGATATATATATATATATATAAACCATATATATATATACATAATATATATAACATATATGTATATATGTATATAATGTGTATATATATATATATCAGATTAAATTAAAAACATATATTTAACATAATGTATATATATATATTTAAATATAACATATATATATATATACATATAAAACACACATATATATATATATATCGTCAACTCTATAGCTACATCATGTAATATCCCCAAAAAAACTAGTTGACCAAGTTCTATGTCACCAACTTAGCTATCTAGGGGGCCTCACCTCATAGTCACTTATCAAAGATCAAGATTATTCCCAGTTCCAGGCTCCTTCAGCCTTTGAATGTGCTCCGGGTCAGGTGTGTCGTCGTCATCCAGACCACCAGTGACGACGTTCACACCCAGCGTGCCACGGCGACATATCAACGTGCTCACACCGTGCTCCGTAAGACCAAAACCTGGCAAAGGGTAGAACTGCAGTGGATCTAAGAACCCACTTATGGCCATTCTTACTGGACAATGATGATGAAATGATGATTAAATGATGGGCAACGGCAAAACAACATGACCTTGGCCTCTGGGCCTCTGGGCCTCTGGGCCGGGCCCCACATGGATCGACATGGATTCGTCATCCCATTTTTCGGGAAATCCACTTGTCGCCATGTTAAATAGGTGCATCAATCATCATGTTTAGAATCTATAAACGGACCATTTTCCATCGCGATGTTAAATAATCAGAGCGTAATTGAAACATAATGGAACCACCTACCAGTAGACCTTGTTAGATGTGTCAAAGAGACACAACACCATTCTTGCGGATGTACAAAAAATATAAATTGCAAAATGCTGACATTTGAGCAGTGTTCGAAACCATCTGTCGGCCCTCAAAAACTGGTTGGCTAATCGGATTTCCCAGCTCATGGATTATTGTACATATATATATAAATATATATTAGTTATATATTAGATATATTATTCATATACATATATGAAAAATATATATATGTGTGTGTATTAGACATATTATTCATATACATATATATATATATGTATATACATATATATATATATATACATATATATATATATTCATGCCCATTAATTATTATTCATATATACTACAATCCTAAAGAGTTGGGGATTTTTGGGGGAAAAAGTAGATGTCAATGTGGGATCATCCAACATCTCTGAACTTTTGGGTAGGCTAGATAGCTATGTTCGAGTATAACTGGGTTAGCTAGGGTTTATGGCGAATATATCTGTATAACTATGGTCTATGGGGAATAAATATATATTATATATATATGGATATATATAAATATGGATATATAAATGGATATATATATATATATGGATATATATATATATGGATATATATATATATGGATATATATATATGGATATATATATATATATATGTGGATATAAAAAATATGGATATAAAAAAATATGGATATATATATATAAAAATATAAATATATGGATATATATATATATGGATATATATATATAAATATAAATATATGGATATATATATATATGGATATATATATATAAATATAAATATATGGATATATATATATATATGGATATATATATATGGATATATATATATATATATGGATATATATATATGTGGATATATATGTATGTATATAAAGAGTTAGATGGGTTTATAGCGGCCCACCTTGTATAGTAGAACCAACCAAAAACAAAACAACACCCTGCAAACAGCATGTTAAACGATTGGTGGTGCCAAGTTGGTCATCATATCTAGGTTTACTGTGATTTAGATATATCTATAGTGTTCTATATTACCCTATGCAGTTAGTATCCATATTTTAACTGGAGGTGTCCTGTAATTTTCTACGAATTACTATGATGTATGGTACATATCTATGCTAATATAATATAAATATATATTTAAACATAAACAATCTTAAATTGATGACATATAAAGCGATGGGTATAATCATATATGACCTCTATAGATATAAATTTGTTGTGCTACTATATTATATACATATACATATTGTCAAAGGAAGTTGGGAAGCAATACTTCCGAGTTACGGACAAATAGAATTCTGAGACTTGAAATGATGAAGGGTGGTACGTCATCTAACAATACATAACAAAAGAATAAGAAGCTATGGATTAGATCACATGACAATACAGAACAAAAGAATAAGAAGCTATGACACAGGGTGAGTGAAGAAGGGAAGTGATGATGAAGGGGAGTGGTGATGAAGGGAAGTGGTGAGGAAGGGAAGTGGTGAAGAAGGGAAGTGGTGACGAAGGGAAGTGGTGAAGAAGGGAAGTGGTGAAGAAGGGAAGTGATGATGAAGGGGAGTGGTGACGAAGGGAAGTGGTGACGAAGGGAAGTGGTGACGATGGGAAGTGGTGACGAAGGGAAGTGGTGACGAAGGGAAGTGGTGACGATGGGAAGTGGTGAGGAAGGGAAGTAGTGAGGAAGGGAAGCGGTGACGAAGGGAGGTGGTGACGATGGGAAGTGGTGACGATGGGAAGTGGTGAGGAAGGGAAGTGGCGAGTTGGGGAGGAAGCCACACCACGAAACCTTGTGTTTTTCCGTGTAAAGTGGCTGCAGCCGGCGATGAAAGGTACCTCGTCTGTGCGGCGGTTGCGGCTGGGGTCGTTTCTGTCGCGAATTGTTCCACCTATGTGTTTTGCAACAATGGTTGTTCCTGAAGTGTGGAGTGTGAAGTGTGAAGTTTGGAGTGTGAAGAAAGCAGTGAGAAGTGAGAAGTGTGAGGTGTGGACTGTGAAGTGTGAAGTGTGGACTGTGAAGTTTGGAGTGCGAAGAGTGCAGTGTGACGTGTGGAGTGTGAAGTGTGGAGTCTTAAGAGTGCAGTGTGAAGTGTGGAGTGTGAAGACTGCAGTGAGAAGTGCGAAGTGCGAAGCGGAGCTTCAAATGTGACATGTGAAACAAGACACCAGTTTCGCAGAGTGCACGCACGCACGGGCTTGGCTGGCGCACGGCGCAGGCAAGTTCTATAGATGAGAAAGGTCTTATGTATATCTTTAAGGCAACTTCCGCCCCGCCTCGTGCGGGTACTACTGGTATATGCATACATATATCTGTACATAATCCATAGATATCCATAGATTTGCCACCCTTGTCGCCTTGCTCCAGCAATTCCTGTGCAATCGCATCTTGCAGCGCCTCCAACGCCGCATCGCACAAAGCTCTGCAGACCTTTCCCACGGCCGCGCCAGCGCTGTCAGCGCCCGCACGCACGGGGTAAAGGCGCCGGCGGCCCAGGACCAGGATACTTCCTCCTGATGTCAAGGAGATTAGTCAAACATATAGTATCATATAGTAAAACATATCTCAAAACACAGGAAACATGGGGATTTCACCAAGAATAAATGATATGAACTAGCCATTGATGCTACCCCTGATACATCTGAACATGTTTTGTTGGTTGCAATTTGGTCGTTTTCCACTCTTGTGGCTGCAAGTGACGTAGAATAGGTTGGCAAATCGAAACTCTGAGTTTAATCAGCAAAAAAAAGGATTGAACCTAACAATAATCATAGCACTATAACCCCATCCTGATCAGCTGGGACAGAAGCCTTAACCTTCACGTGAACATGTAGAGAGGGGTCATTGGGGATTGGGATTGTCATACATACAAGGAGGGGCGGCCCCGTAGTTCTAAGTTGTTTTACAAACATCTGTAAACCGACTAACTATGGACAGATATATCCCGCATTACCCCTAGCTAACCAAATTGTAAGTCAACTTGGCTGTCTAGGGGGACCACCTTCGACCATATTTTGAAGGGATGAACCAACATTGATATTTGACACATGCTATATCATGATAAATATTGTTGATATATATATATAGTTATCAGGGGATAAAAACCGTACATCAATTCTCATTTGGTTGGGATTGAGAATCGTTATTTGAAAGCACCAGCCAAACGAGATCGCAGCAACCAGTAGATTAGATGAAATGACTTACCCTCTGGTAAACTAACATAACTATGGAAAATCACCATTTTCAATGGGTAAATCCACTATAAATGGCCATTTTCAATAGCTATGTAACAAATTACCAGAGGTTATCTGATTTAACGATCTACCAGGGTTGACGACTGATCAGTTGGTGAGTTCCTATAGATTTTCTATGATTTTCTTATGGGGACTGGAAACTCAATGACAAACTAAAAAATACTGGAGGAACTTGCACTTAGATGTGCTTAACCATATTTAACCATGTTTAAACCATCATTCTATGAATTTCTATGACTAATTACTTGTGTATATCATGGTACACCCCTCTTATAAATGATGTCTGGTTGGTGATGCAATAACCATCTTTAAAAATATGAGTTCGTCAATGGGAAGGATGACATCCCATATATAAATGGAAAATAAAATTCATGTTCCAAACCACCTACCAGATTATAATCCCCAATATATTGGGTAGTATAATCCCCAATCCCCAACCAGATTATATCACTATTATAATCACCAGATATTTTTGATACTCACCATTATAATCACCATTGATATCCAGTGTGAATCAATTGGTTTGCTGATGAAATCTTCAGCTTGTGAAATCCTCATCTTTGCCAGTTAAATACCCATTTTTTGGGCTGATCAAAAACAGTGCTGTGGTCAAAACATGGTTACCTCAGTGGAAATCCTGATATTAATCCAGCCCAGCTATTCCCATCGCTATCGTAGATTGGCCAACTGATTCTGTCTCTCCGCTCCTTGCATCGTCCGTCCCAGATCTCGTAGACATTCCAATCGCTCGGCTTCGGAGGATGGGAGATCGACGTCGACCTGAGAAAACTCCGCGGAGAAAACTCCGCTGGATGTGTTTTTTTAGTGGTACATATGCTCCATGTACTTGGTGGCTCATCCCACGGCTCGTAAGTGGGTTATAACCCCAGTGATTTCAGTGGATTAACCCTACTTATCCCATTTATAACTGGGGTTATAACCCACTTTCTAAGTGGGATGAGCCACCAAGTATGGAATATGAATCCCTACATTTAAACCAAAAAATCAAGCAGTTTTGTAGGAATTTTTCCAGCACCATGGAGCATCTGGGTATGGTAGGATGTAATTTTGGTATATAGTAGGAATATATAATAATATATATGTATGGCAATCATATATAGTCTATGGATATATCCACAATTAGTACATGGTACTGAAATAGCTATGTTAGTTTACCAGAGGGTAGCTTTCTGGAAAAGTATCCTCTGCTCACGGTTAAGCAATCCAATTGGTGGTTGACCTACCCCCCAGAAACATATGAGTTCGTCAGTTGGGATTATGAAAATTATTGCCAATATATGGAAAAATACAAAATGTTCCAAACCACCAACCAGTACATATAGTGGAAGTGAATGAACTAGCCCAACTACAGTAGTTATTATAGGTGTTACATAAACACGCAGAACTGTTTTTTGCTGTTTTTCTGAGACATGTTCTCCGAGATTTTCTTCCTCATCTCCCTCAGTTTTTCACCAACCACCTGGGAAAACCAAGCGGCTGATCCCTCAGGACTTTCGCACAACCCCTCCGGCAACGGTGGCAAGTTGGAGGGCCAAAGGCTGCGATGCAGAGAGGCGCCTTCGGAGATATGTTCCATGGCCTGTTGGGCAGTTGGTGGAGCCGGTTTAGGAAACCGTCGGAAAACGTGGTGTCTTATGGTGTTTTACCCTCTGGTAATTTAACATAGCTATGGAAAATCACCATTTTTAATGGGAAAACTCACTATAAATGGCCATTTTCCATAGCTATGTTAGTTTACCAGAGGGTAACCAACAAAAAGTAACAAGGATTTACATGGATTTATATGGCTTTGTAGTTGATTTATGTTGGCTAAGTTGGTAAACATACCTAGGATAACTGGGGTTTATGGGAGTTGTAACGAGCATGTGGTTCTGAGCAGGTTTTTTCGTTGATGTTTTTGCTTAACCACACACATGTATCCAAATGATTCAAAATGTAATTGTTCAATCATGATTCCAGAAAACATGAGGTGCTTCATAAAAATGTCCAAACCATTGCGGCTGAAATGCGAATCTGCTTTTCCATTCGAAAAAACTGCTTGATTTCGATCATGTGATCAGCCAAGCGGCGGTGGTCAACAAATAATTTGACGTCACAGCAATCTTTTCCTGAGCGAAATGGTTGTCACGGAAAAGGAAATAGATATTGGCAATCATCCTTCAAACATTCTGGGTGACAATGAATTATACATATCCATACTAAAGTATCATCAATACATGCGATACTTTGAAATACCTATATATATATGTATATATTAAACATATAAAATATATCTGCCACCTTTGTGATTCTTTTTGACGGGTGAGCCTAGTTCACGATTCTTTGTTTTGCCTAGCAGTGCGGTTTGAAAACAGAGATGCAACATGAAACCTCCAAGTGCAACCGCCTGGGCAAAAGTGAACTGGTTGGTGGTGCAATAACAACCTTGAAAATATGAGTTCGTCAATGGGAAGGATGACATCCCATATATTATGGTGGAAAAATGTTTGACACCACCAACCAGTGAACACACAAAACTGTTCTTAAATGTTTTTTGGTTTTAAAACTCAGGCTTGCAAGGCTCATGTCCCCGGACAACCACAGATTCTGCTGACTCGCGCAAGCTAATGTGGTTCCAGGTCAAGAATGTAGAAAACAATAGATCATCTGCCATGTTTCAATGTGTTGAGTTGAGGTTAAAACGCATCTATGTATGCGTCTATATGCCTATATGGTATAACATACATATGTGTAAAATGAAAATCATATAGTATAAAAGATAATAATAAACAACAGTCCATAATCAAACTATTTTACTAACAACAATAATGACATATATATATATATAATATGGTTCTATGATTAACAAAACACGTATGCACATAATATGTGTATATACAGTCACACAGCAGACATATTGCGCATCTGATTTACATCCTCAACTGCCGGCACTTTCAGCAGTTTCCTGTTTCAAGCTCTGATGAGCTGCCATCTCCACCAATGGCCATTGGGATATTCACCATATTCACCATAAGAAGGCACAGCCCGCGCTATGTTTGTTCGTGTATAAACCCATGACCCTAAGGTCCTAAGGTCGACATACAAAAAGATGTGAAAGACCCATGGTTTCCCTAGGAAAATGCTCCACAAATCTTGGGTTTCCCACATCAGTGTTAGTTTAAAGGAGGGTATCTAAAGTTAACATTCCCACTAACCGTTGTTTAGCAAGTTAGAAGTCAACTTAGCTATGTAGGGGGCCTCATCGTGTAGCTCGATATATCCATTGTTAACTCCAGTTCACCTAGCTAGAAAACAAACTTTCCAACAAGCACTTGGGGGCCCCTTCCTGAAGCAACAAGGAGCACTTAACCACAAACACATGATTTACCCTCTGGTACTTTAACATAGCTATGGAAAATTGATGAACATGGCCCATTTATATATATATATATGTGAGTTGCCTTTTTCAACATATTTAAAATTGGTCGTGCTTTTCAAATATGTTCAATAGCTATGATAAACTACAAAGGGTACCAATCATTGATGAATATTGCAGATTTGGAGTAAGTAGCCAAACAATGACCTGGAATATAGTTGCCTGAGGCGTAACAATTCATGGTCGATTGTCCATGTCTACAAAGGGACGCCTCCAGTCATAAGTTGGTTTATAAACCCCGTCAACAATAGGTTGTAAGTATCATAAACCATAGTTATTGGAGTTATACACCAGTTTAATCCAATTTAGCTATCTAGAGGGCCCACATTGTATGTTAATTTACTGCAGAGTACCTCAGTATCAGTATCCCAATACAATGGTGGCACAGGGAAAATCACATGGCAATTGAACATTCACTGTAAATGTTTTGTTTTTTCCGCTTGTATAATAGGACAATGATCTATAAATCTATAAATGAATATGTTCTTTACTTTTATATACGTTTCCTCCTTTAAACCTTGATTAATAGGGAATTCTCCAGCTAACCACGCTTGATAACACCAGAGGGTACCTGAACCTGCTGTCAAGCACTTTGGTAATTTAACATTGCCATCGCAATAGGCAACTCCCGTAGTCTATCAGAAAAAAATGTGTCAACACCCTGCATTATACAATGACGTTGTGATGAAGTCATTCTATTTCACCCAAAATGTCTTCCAATCCTAACCAAGGTCAACCCCTCCATTTAACATCATGTTCCCCGTGGATAATCCCATTCAACATTACCAATCTTGGATACCTGGATTTGCTGGAACTGGATAGGTTAATATATCACCACTAAAAAAATCAACAGATGAAGCTGGACCAATAGCTGCACTATCCTCATAATGACTGTCCCACATATCATCTCTATAATCCCCATAGAAAACCCCCCATTGAAATCGCAACATTGTGTGAGGTTCTAGGTTCAACTACACACAGTTATCAATCACCAGTTGGTTGAACCACCCCATTGTTGATGCTTCGTCCCCCCTAAAAAAATATTGGTTGCACAAGCGTTGATGGTTGAATCCCTTTCCATAGTACCCTCTGGTAATTTAACATAGCTATTGAAAATGGCCCAGTCGAAATAGTGGATTTACCCATTGAAAATGGGTGGATTTACCCATTTATGATTGATATACCTATTAACATTGTTGATTTTCCATAGTTATGTAACAGTTTACCAGAGGGTATGGGATACAGTTAGTGAGATCTCCCATCTTTTTGGGATAATCCCATCCGAAAATATCCCACTGATATACCATTAGTCATGGGATAGTCATTAGTGAGATATCACCTCATATAGTCATTAATGGACCCATGGTTTGATGGTTTGATGGTTTCATGGTTTGATGGTTACATCCTACGAAAATCATACCAGGATCTGAAAAATCAACAGTTTACCAAACAAACGCGACATAAATTTCTAGAAATAACCAGTGGATACTAAACTATCCCAACCGTTTAAACTACCCTCTGCCATAGTGGATCAATTAGAATTTTTTGGTGTGTAGTAATATATATATATATGATACGTTACCTTATTTTACCGAAACCATTTTACCAAGGTTAACATTTGCTCTACACAATTTTTATCCAAGCTTTATAGAGCCACAAAGAAAACCAAACTCCTCCGCTGCTGAGTGTCCCCTAGGCGCCGTGCATGGCTGTCTGCCTGACCCGCTGTCACCGAGGCCGTTTGCAAAATCTGTTGGGTGCTGGAAGTGACCTTGACTTCGGGGCGGTTGGTATTATGGGGATTGAGCGATTATGAATGGTATTATGAATGGCAACCAGTAATTTTTGGGTATTATGAATGGTTGTAGTGGTTGGCTCAATAATGGTATTATGAATGGCGGTTAGACTCAAGCATATGAATGACGGACAGAATTACTGCTTGCAATGGACATGGCCAAAGTGGGTGGTCCAGGTTTTTGCACAAATTTGAACATTCCATGTCCACTCCCCACTACTTTAGTTTTCGGCTAATTTTGTCACTTCCTCATATGGTTTTCATACAATGTGAGGCCCCCAAGATACCTAAGTTGGTTTATAACTCCAATAACTATGGTTTATGGTATTTATAACTATAGTTACTGGGGCTTATAAATCAACTTATAACTGGGTGGGCCCACATTGTAGGGAATTGAACCATGATAATCGGGATTTCAGCATGAAAAACGGGGATCTAACCACTGTTGAGGGTTAAAATCTCCATGTTTATACATGTTTCATGGTAAAATCCCCACATGGCACCACATGAGGGGGATATCCAATATGAAAACCTTATGTTTGATGACTGAATACCTACTTGGAGGGTCATCCCACGACTGTAACCAGGGTTATTAGCCACTTACGATCCGTGGGATGACCCTCCAAGTAGGGATTCAGCCATGAAACGGCTCGCGTTTTCATAGGGAAATCCCTCCAAACATATGACGGTTTTGGGGATTCAATCATGAAGAATGAGGATTTAACCAACAACAAAGTCATTTTTGATGAGATATCATATGATATAATGGGATGATGGGAATATAATGGGGACAAGATAGGATCGAGTAATTAAATATGGCTAGCTGGAAAATCCCCGAACGAAATAGTGGTTTTAGTGGGACAATTATATATATGTATATCTATATTTCCATCATTTTCCATGCCATGTTTCATTGAGGAATAACTAGCCAACAAAGTTACGGAGTTATAGTACAACCAACCATACTTGGATGGGATATAATTGGAGAATCATATAAGGTTTGAAAAATCCAGCCGAATCAGACTCAGAGAAACTCATGGGGTCTTAACTGGGATACAATGGAGATATAACTAGAATATATAAGGGGAATGAGCTACCAACCCTATCAAATATGTATGTAAATACATACATATATTTATAGTTATGTATATATATATATATAAGTCATATAGACTTATATATATATATATATGTATATATATATATATAGATATAGATATTATAGATAGATAGATATAGATACAGGAGCTGGAGATCATATTTTGCGGCCTGACCACATCTGGTACGACCCAGGCCCCCTGTCCCGCTTCAGTTCCCGGCCGAATGGGCCAAGCTGGTCAGCACTGGCGCGCGCGACTCGCCGGTCGCCAACATCGGCGGCGACGCGTTCGACGTTGTGTCGTGTCGTGGAACGTCGTTGGCCAATAAAGCGCTGGGAAATTCCCGGGAAAATTGGGGAAGAGTCGCTTAAATTAAACATGGCTGAACATCTGGAAAACATATGGAAAATTCTCTTGAAAATCCTATTGAAAGTATATTGAAGAATCACTGACAAGAAGCCATTTCTTTTTAGATGGTTAAGTCATGGGGGTTAAGCTAGATTTGATGCTTGAAGATGGTAAAGAACCAATGGTGACATTAAAAAGCTAATCGGGTGCCCAGGGGTTGGGATGATTAGACTCAGCTACTGGATGTTACTGAAGCAGATAGTGCACCAACCTGCAAGGCACATCAAGGCACATGGTGATACGAATCCAACAACCACAATTTAACTGCAGATTTCTGGAAATTGCATCTGATGATCTATGTTTTTTTCGATGAATTTTCTTGCAACGGTCAGCTGCTGAGTTACCTGAAAGGGTTGCTGGAAAGGCTCAGCCCGTGCGGGTCTGGCTTCCAAATGGCTGCAGGTCGTTTTTGTCATTCTGGTCTGGCAAATCTTTCAGCCAGGTGAGTTCCAAAACATCCATGCTGAAACCAACCAGTCCTAAGTTCTGAGTAGGTCTGTAGTTTCACTTCTTTGGATGATGAACTCTAGAGTTGGTTGCCTCGAAGCCTCGGCTTCCATCTAGCTCCTACGCCACCGTTCGGGGTGCAGTTCGGGTTGTGAAATCATAGGTATAACATGGTAATAACCCCCGTATCCACAAGTTGGGAATAGTTGGGAATATGAACCCTAGAATTATGGTCACGGAATGTAATGTATCATATCTACAGTATCATCATATATCCACAGTTATGGCCCTTTACCAGTTATAAGTACTAACAAAACCCCATTTATAGAATGTATAATCCCATAGAAATAACCAGTTATTTCACAAATAAATGGCCATAACTGCACCGTTCACTGGAACTCCCAATGGCTCAACCCTGGCCCAGGCAGAGCTCAATGGCTCAATGGCTCGGGGACTTTTCCACCCTCGCAGAAGGTGCTCATTTCGAGTACTTCTTCGTCAGCAAGCAGGACTCCACAGCAGTGATGCCCCAGTCCTGCCAACCAAACAGCCACGGGGCCAACGAATAGATGGAAGGGATGATGTATGCATATTTTAAACCAAGTACCATATATATATATATATAGTTAGCCAATTGCTCCCCCATCTTTCCTATCCCGCCCAGATTAACAGATCAAAAAATCCACCAGCCTACACCAAAGCAAAAATCATAACAACTAAAACAAATTTCATCTTATAAATATTTTTCATAAGATAAAATCTAATGTTCTAACTTCTTCAAATTCTCTTGATGTAGCGCTGTCCCCAAATGCCTCTTGTAATTTTTACTTTGTATCGGATAATCATTACATACAGGGCAGGTCATCCATTTTATTTTAGCATTCACTTGTTCAATATGTTCTGCTCTATGTTTCCTTCTTCTGGCGTTCATTTCCTCTCTATGTTCTTCTTTGTATTTTTTATTATATTCTTTTGCCTCCTCTATATGATTGTAATAATAGTCTCTCCTCCTTGCATTAAATTTTTCTTTGTTCTTCTGATGATTTTGTCTCATATATTCTCTACACCTATCACAAGTTTTGTATTTACCCTCCTCCATTTCTTTAAAGCATTTAGCACATTTGATTTTATTATCTTCCATTACCCTACTATAGATAGGAAATATCTTTTTAAATGCCAATCCCATCTTTACAAAACCCACCCAGATTATCATATCATAAAATTCTAAGGGGATAATAAATAAATATGGGATTGCTATGCTCATAGAATAATAATAAAACCATTATCATAAATCATAACAACAAACAACAAAAGAAAAAACAAAATAATATAATCATCATAATTGTATTGAATAATTTTCAAAGCATACACACATATATATATATAGATATATCATCTTACCTTATCTATTTCATAGGTGTTGTTTCTAGAAATCATAATTGCTTGAAATAGTCCTAGAAAATAATTGCAACATAAATTTAATAGAATTATTTTATCAAATTTATGGTGATAATCAACAGAATATTCATAATCATTCATTATGAAGATTATGGGATTAATTACCACAGTCTCCTCCTATCGGGGAAGCCTCAGCCCCCAGCCAATATACTATCCCACCCCCCAGCATACATACCAGCATACATACAAACTAGCATATCACAACAGCATCACATCTTTCTCAATCTCAAATCTCTTTAATTACCGCAATTACCCTGCCCAAACCGCCCTTCATGAACTTGTTGATGACCATGTCTTCTTAACCTCAGCGCAATGTAAATGGCACAGCAATCCAAACTTTTGTGGCGAAATGGAGTGAAGAAGATTTGTGTGGTGTGCGTCCCAGACTTGTTGGTGCCAGTCTTCCCAAGTATCTTGGAATTTTGGCATGCATGGGCGGCATGTCAAGCTTGTGAAGGCTCACTGGCATGAGTGCTCTATTGGAACAATGCCTACTTACACACAGACCTTTGTAATCATCTGCTCAGAGCACTGTTTTGCAAGTCGCCCTGTTGGCGAAGCAAGCATTCTCACGCACTTTCTTCGTCGACAAAATTGGCGAGCAACTGGCGTGATGAAAGTTATTTAACGTGTAATCCAAGGACAACAATGAAAACGACATCCCCCTGTCATGCAGGGGCAACAAACGGCGCTTCGCAGATTGGCTGCCTTGGTCTGATTTTCCATCAAGTTTCCCGCAATGCCTGTGCTGTTGGTGTCTGCAGCTCGAGCGCTCAATGCGAGGATGATGAGGCAAGCGAAAAAACGGATTGGCGCCATGGAAATTGCCAACACCGAGCTACATAGCGTGCCCGAGTGGTTTGAGCAAAAGATGCTGAAACATGAAACAAAATTCCAAGCGCAAACTGAAAGAGCTAATTTTCTGTAGCTTTCCACTTGAGAATGTCAAAGATGCTCAAATTGAAACAAATTCCAAGGTCAAGCTCTCCAAGAACATGTGGCTTCAAATCTCCGACTGACATATTCCCAAAAGCTGAGCGTCCCGACAACAGGATGAAGAAGAGATTGATGACAAAGCCAAGGCGAGGAAGGGCAAAGGAACATGGAGCAATCCCAACCAATGACCCAAACGTGCCAAACACAAATTCGTGGGGAAAAACAAATGAAGGGCAAAACACAAAACCCTGAAATCAAAAGAGCACATAAAACCAACCATCTGATGGGAAAAATGCTTACAAGGCTTTCTAAAAACACTAAATCTTTAAAAGTTCGTGCCTCATCAACAATCTTGGGTAATCAGTTAATTTGTAATATTGTTGGTTCAACTTTTCTGCAATCTCTTGCACAACATAATAACCATTCAGCCAGTGGGAAGTTCTTTCTTTCTCTGTAATTGCTTTCTTTCTCATTATCTTTACTTTGTCTCCCACCTCTAATGTTGGGTATATTCTTTCTTTGCCTTTGATGCTACATTCAGCATTGCCCTAAATTCATTTTTCTCTTTCCTTGCTTGATTAGGTGTCATACCTGTAGCGGGGTGTTTCATTTTATCATTGTATGTAAGCATTATTTCTAAATTGTAGTCTGTCCATTTGATATGTTCTCTTCCTTTCTTTTCATCTGCTTCAACTCTTTTAAAAAGCATATCTTTGTAGGTGCGTATAAATCTTTCAGCAAAAGCAGGATGACCCCTTGTCCTATACAACTCAATATTCTCACCTTCAATATAGTCTTCAAAATCACCTCCTGCTATTGCTTTTTCATCATCACTGTATATGATTTTTGGTTTCTTTCCCATTTTTTTAAATGCCTCGTTAGTTGCCTCAATAACATCAGGTTCATTCTTGCTTACAATTGGAATTACTACGGCATACTTGCTTAAAACATCAATACAAACCAATCCTCCTCTATATTTTTGTTCTTCATCAAAATCATAATACCCCATAAAAAACAAATCAATTTGATAAGTATGATTGTTATGAGGTGCTACAAAGGAATTATGCCCTCTTGGCTTTGCTTTTATCTCAACATTTTTCCTAAAGAATTGTTCAACATCCTCTTTCTTGATTGTAGGTTCTTTCTTTTTAGCATCTTCTAATGTGGTCTTTCTTGAACCATAGCCCGCTTTATCAAAATAAATATCACGAATAATTTGTTGTTTCTTACTTTCACTCATTATAGAATAGATGATATAATAAATATTAAAATTATATCATTTATTCTTCATTTTGTTTATTTAACCAGTCTTGGTGCTTTTGTGATTTCTCGTGTCTTTTTTTGTGTTGAAATGTGTAATTTGCCACAACCACACAAATGTTTTTCCAGCAAGATGTGTTTTCTTTCTTGAAACCGTCTTCTATGATATTCCTGTTCTTCTTCTTTATGAAGTTCTTTGTAAAGGTCATTCCTGAACCTACAATATTCATTTTCATCTTGGTAATATTCTGCTGGTGTTCTACACGGCACACATTTATTGATACAGTCATTGTTTTTGATATAGTAGCCCTCCCTCCGTCTTAACTCTTCCTTGCTATTACAAGGGTAGTTTTCTACTAATTCAATTTTGCAATTCTCTATACCGAATTCATCAAACAAATCAAAAGAACGTGTATTTGTAATATTACCTTTCAAGTATGCTGTGTATTTGGCTCTATGTCTTGTCATTCTTTGGCTCAAACTTTCGCAAGTAGAACCATAATAGGTTTTATTATATCCTACATCTACTATTTTTATAAATCTTACCATTTTGATATTTGCTCATATCCCTACTTATCTTAACTTATCTTTTCTTTAAAACCATTTTACATTAATATCTTATTTGAAAAAGCGCAATTACAAGACACACAATAACCTTTACAACTATCTTTAAAGTGAGCTTCACAACAATTAACCCTTTGACAGCTAATATTTGATGAAACCTTGCCATCTTCAAAATCTATCACCAATGGTTCATTACAATTTTCACACTGGGTATTCATCAGGTTCATCAAAAAATCTACATCAACATACTCATTTCCTTCTACATCTCTACCTGCTTTCTTGTCTTGCTCAATGTAATTTAAAACCTTTCTCTCAAAATACTGCTCTACTATCCTTTTAGATTTACTTTCTTCACCTTTATTATATTTGAAAAACTTAATTTTGTTGAAGTCTGTAGCCCTTGTGAGGGCTGTAAAAAAACATTCTTACTAACATACCATTCATTCCAATCATATCCGCCGACCCTGGCCTTCGCCAAGGCCGGGGCGGCGCCTGGGACCACCGGAGGTGTGGATCCTGTCTTTCTTGAACCTTTGCCACGCCGTGGATCCTGTCTTTCTTGCACCTTTGCCACGCCCACACTGCAGGCAAACGCCACCACAAGGCCACAGCAATGGCTCAAGAGCACCCCACGGCCGCAGCAATGGCTTCTTTTATAGGCGTTCAAGGCTGCCGTTTACTAAGCCTCAAACCCTCCAAACCTTCCAACTCCTCCAAAAGTTTGCCCAACTCCGCAGGGAAAAGGCACCCCACGGCCGCAGCAATGGCTTCTTTTATAGGTGTTCAAGGCTGCCATTTGCCAGGCCTCAAACGTTCCAAACGCTCCAAACCCTCGACAAGTCTGCCCAGCTCCGCAGGGAAAAGGTACCCCAACAAGCCCAACACGCGCTACTCCCGCATGCAAAACGCCCAACTTCGCAGGCAAACGGTACCCCAACAAGCCCAACAGGCGCCACGCCCGCAGGCAAAAGCCACCACAAGGCCACAGCAATGGCTCAAGGCATCCCCCCGGCCGCAGCAATGGCTTCTTATAGGCGTTCCAGGCTGCCGTTTGACAGGCCTCAAACGCTCCAAACGCTCCAAACCCTCCAAACGTCCGCCCAGCTCCGCACACTCCCGCATGCAAAACGCCAAACTTCGCAGGCAAAAGGTACCCCAACAAGCCCCACAGGCGCCACGACGCTCCAAACGCTCCAAACCCTCCAAAAGTCCGCCCAGCTCCGCAGGCAAAAGGTACCCGAACAAGCCCAACACGCGCCACTCCCGCCTCAAACGTTCCAAACGCTCCAAACCCTCGACACGTCCGCCCCGCTCCGC